ACAGAGATGTCTGACCAGAAAGTGCTAGGCACATAACAGAAGCAGACAGGACATGGGAATAAAGTGGGAAGAAACAAAGAAACTGCAGCTACATTATAGGGATGAGAATTGGTTTGCTCTAGTGATACTGATGTGGCTAGAAAGATAGCTGAAGCCGTAAACAGTTTCCACAGGCTTTCCTTATTTCTGGCTGAACTTCACCACCTACATGCACTGAGACACACCGATACATTCCACAGTTCACCAACAGATTCCCAATTCCTGCATGTTTAAATACAGCACATCAAGGATCTCTCTTGCCCCGATTCTATTTCAATCATGGGCTGTCCATACTAAAAAACAGTTTACTTGATATACACAGCGTGAAGCTATAGCCCAAAACAGGCCCAGGGTCTGCTTGCTGAAAATTAATACACTAAGAGAAGCATTTTTTAGAGTGGATAAATGAGAAATTTTTGGACAAATCATTTCTATATTGTCAGATTAGACTAAAAAGAACCAGATGGCCACTCATTTCATAGAAGTTGGCCATGCAGCCAACACATGGTTTTCTTCAAGTGGGCACCATTGATCCAGGGCAAAACTGAACAAGAGCTCTGGGGAAGACCCATAATCAAATGATAAATAATGAGGGAAAATGCTTTAAATTCAAACTTTGATCCTTCCCAGGAAGAGATGATAGATGGGCCTGGTTATAAAATGAAGCTTCTAGGCAAGCAATTCTCCCCACATCTACTACTTCCTTTGCTTCCTCAAAGTACCTTCAAATTTTCAGCTACCATGAGATGGAAAATTTTTTTTTTTAAGACATGCAGTAACTGAAAGACGGTCAACTGGAGGCAGATGGGGGAATCATGGGAGCATACGTTGGCTGTGGATTCCTACTAAAAGACCCAGGAAGAAGCTCAACGGACTTCTGTTAAATTCTGAGCACTCTGTTACCCAGTTTTGTATTTGAATATCTGCACCTAACTACGGAGAGGAGGTGCTTAATAAATATTCAGTGACTCAATGAATAAATTATAAAAGGCTATAAACTTTGGAAATAAAACATACTGGATAACACAGATGCTTAATAATGGCCTGCACTATTATAGATGCTCCCCTAGCCCAGACTGACTCATTTTCAGTCTTATGCAAATGGTTCCGTTTTAGGATTTTGGAGATTTGGTACATTCGTTTATTGGAACTGCTATAACAAATTAACACAAACTTTGTGGCTTAAAACAACAGAACTTTCTTCCCTCCCAGTTCTGAAAGCCAGAAGTCTGAAGTCAGAATCGCTAGGCCGAAATCAAGATGTCTGCCTGGCAGCCCTCCCTTCAGAGGCTCTGGGGGAGAACAGATTCCCCGCCTCTCCAGGCTTCTCAGGGCTGCCAGAATTCCTCGGCTGTGGACTCATCACTCCAATCTTCCAGGTCACATCTTCAAATCCCTTTTTGTTCTGTCTTTGCATAGCCTTCTTTGTGTGGGCAAAATCTCCCTCTGCCTCCCTTTTAAAAGAACATAGGTGATTGCACTTAGGGGCCCCCACCCAGGATAATCCAGGAATATCAATCTAAAAATCCATAACTTGGGAGTCTGGGTGGCTCAGTCAGTTAAGCGAATGCCTTCGGTTCAGGTCATGATCCCAGGGTCCTGGGATCGAGTCCCGCATCAGGCTCCTTGTTCAGCAGGGAGCCTGCTTCTCCCTCAGCCTGCCGCTCCGCCCTGCTTGTGCTCTCTCTCCCCCTCCCTCTGATAAATAAATAAATAAAATCTTTAAAAAATAAAAACAATCAAAATCCTTCACTTAATCACATCTGCAAGGACCCTATCTTCAAATAAGTGAACATTTACAGGTTCCAGGGAGTGGGACCTGATATCTTTGGAGGCCATTAGTTTGCCTATCACACCAGGAAAACTCAGTATTACCAAAAGAACAGAGCAGGCAGCAGTGAATGCAAGAAGCCTCAAACTGTCTCTATCACTATGAGGATACTTGCTGCAACAGACTTCTGTTAAACATCTGTGTTATTTTGGTGTAATGCCCACAGTTACATATATGATATTACTGACAATGCACAGTACCCCAACCTTTTGGATTTAAATTAAAATCTGAGCTGCCCAATAGCCATCAGAACGGAACTATCTTGGGGGATGTCTGCATTACGCATGTTGACAGGGTCGAAGCCTCCTTTCTCCTTATCACATGGCCTTAGCTCTATCAACCACTCTTCCTTGTTGTCAAACCCAGTCTGTGTGAGGAAACCCATGAGGGAATTAGCCTACATGGGTGGGGCTGGTTTGGGTAATAGGGAAATTGATGGGTCAGGCTAGGTATTGGCAGGAAAGGTGGAATTGGAGCCTTGGATTTATTACCCATTTCCTTTACCACTCTGATGCTCTGAGCATGGTTCTTGGGTCCCTGGAACACTACCTGAAGTAGGGCTGGCCCTACACATGCTTTATTCCTGCTTCTTGCCCACACATCAAGCCTCAAGTGTGCTAGAAAACCAGCCTACAGGCTCCTCCTGAGGCAGCCTACAGGCTCCACCTCTAGAAGGATGAGTTAAACTCACATGTGGAAACATATAGATTATTGTTTGAGCAGTTTTGAAGCCACAATAATGCTTTCAACACATTTGAAAATTGTTATTTCTTACTTGTTCTCTAGTAATATCAATACATTCCATAACCTTATTAGAATGCAGAGCTGGGACTAGGGTAAGGCAAGTGAGCACACTCCCTTTGGGTACAAAATTTGGGGAATCAAAAATCTCAGGAATCAAACGACATTTTTTTTTAAAGATTTTTATTTATTTTTTTGACAGAGAGGAAAAAACAGTGAGAGAGGGAACACAAGCAGGGGGAGCAGGAGAGGGAAAATCAGGCCTCCCGCCAAGCAGGGACCCCGATGCGGGACTCGATCCCAGGACCCTGGGATCATGACCTGAGCCGAAGGCAGGCGCTTAAAGACTGAGCCACCCAGGTGCCCCTCAAACAACATTTTAAATACAGTATTTTTTTTTTAAGATTTTATTTATTTATTTTGAGAGAGAGAGAGACAGCGAGAGAGGGAACATAAGCAGGGGGAGTGGGAGAGGGAGAAGCAGGCTTCCCGTGGAGCAGGGAGCCTGATGCGGGGCTCGATCCCAGGACCCTGGGTATCATGACCCGAGCTTAAGGCAGACGCCTAACGACTAAGCCACCCAGGTGCCCCCAAATCTGATGTTTAAATATGAGCAAGTAGAGGGGTGCCTAGGTGGCTCAGTTGGTTACGTATTTGACTTTGGCTCAGGTCATGATCTCAGGGTCCTGGGGATGAGCCCTGCGTGGTCGGGCGGGCTCCCTGCTCAGTGGGGAGTCTGTCTGTCCCTCTCCTTCTGCCCTCCCCCACGCACAGCTCATGCACGTGCACAGGCTGTGTCTCCCTCGCTCTCTCAAATAAATACATAAAATCTTTTTAAAAAATACAGGGCACCTGGATGGCTCAGTTGGTTAAGCGACTGCCTTCGGCTCAGGTCATGATCCTGGAGTCCCAGGATCGAGTCCCGCATCGGGCTCCCTGCTCAGCAGAGACTCTGCTTCTCCCTCTGACCCTCCCCCCTCTCATGTGCTCTCTCTCTCTCATTCTCTCTCAAATAAATAAAATCTTTAAAAAAAATAAAAAAATAAAAATATAAAAAGTATACATAATATGTAAATTATGTAAAAATGGAAGTGTCAATTATATAGAATTATGTTTTATATTTTCTTAACAATTGCTTTATTGGTGCTGAAAACATGTTTGAAAACCAAAAGAATTGTTTTTAAAAATTAAAACTAGCAAAACATTTAACCCACCAACAAAATAAAACGTATCTACCTTACTTTTCTCTAGTAGGTCTCTGTGGTAGACAAAATAATGCCCCCCAAAAGATGCCCATGTCCTAATCCCCAGAACCTGGGAATAGGTCACCTTCCATGGCAGAAGGGACTCTGCAGATGTGATGAAGTTAAGGACCCTGGGATGGGGTGATTATCCTGGATTATCCTGGTGGGCTCAATGTAACCACAGGGTCCTTAAAAGTGGAAGAGGCGGGCAGAAATCAGAGGGAGATGAGATTACAGAAGAAAGGCACAGAGAGATGCAGCATTGCTGGCTTTGAAGGCAGAAGAAGGGGCCACGTGCCACGGAATGTGGACAGCATCCAAAAGCTAGAAAGGGCAAGGAAACAGATTCTTCCCTAGAGCCTCCTGGAAGGAACGCTGCCTTGCCAATGCTTTGAATTAGCCCAGTGACACCACGTCCAACACTTGGACTTCTGAACTACAGAAACTATAAGAAAATAAAGTTATGTTGCTTAAACCACCAAGTTTGTGGTAATTTGTTACACAGCAAATAGAGAACTAAAACAGTCACAAAGGCTATCCAGTCAGTGTTGGCATGCTTTAGTGCACAATAAAATAAGCAGCCAGGTCACCAGGGAGGGGACTAACAACAACTCTGGCTTCGCTAAGCTCCCCCGTGCAGCTTCTGGCTATTGCAATGCCACAAAGTAAGAGAATTATCATTAATGACAGTCCCTACCCCTGAAGATTTAGCTCTAACAGGTCTGGGACACAAGACGATCCGTGTTTAACTAGTGACTCTATTAGAAATTGATGGTGGTTCATGCTCTGAGAGACATTCATTCCTGCCTGTAAGGAGCTTATAATTTAGGGGCTGAGTAAACATAATTCCAATACCTAATAGGTAAATAAATATGCATACTTCCAAAGACAGGTCAACAGCCAGGGACAAGTACAGAAGGCTAAAAATGGCCCAGAGCACATAAATCCTTCCATAGGCTTTGATAACAAAGCCTAGTTGTAGAATTAAGCCAGAAGAGATCTCTGCCAGCAATCCTGTGTGGCCGGTGCCTGAGGGCTCTGGTAAAGCAGATTCCCAGCAGTCCTTACACACCTCTTCATGGCAAAGCTCCCCTGGTGAGCATGGACCTAAGCCCAAACCCTTCCCAGCCTCCCGCCTGTCTCACCTGTTTCCTTCTGAGATGGTGATGTGCTGGCCCAGGGCATGTCGTCTTCAAATTGAACCCAGTTGCTGATGGCAAAGGCCAGGTCAGGTGGGGGCTGCTCGGGGCTCCCAGGAGGGGAGGTCGCTTCAGAGATGAGGCCCAGCTTTTCAGAGGAGTCATCCTGCTCTGAGTGGGAAAGCTCCTGAGAGCCTCTTTCTGCCGCTTGGTTCTCCCCGGAGGAGCTCTCAGACTGGTCTGAGTAAGACGACAGTGCTGGGAGGTGCTCCTCGGCGCCCCCTGAAACACATACCAGACACCACCATCAATCACGTGAGGAAGGCCACCCTTCAAAACTCTCATGGAGGAAAATCCCAAGGATATGTAAGGGGTGATCACAAGACTCACCATTCCGGTGGGTGCGGATGAAGAAACAGCCACGCCCAACTGCCTCTATGCTAAAGGAGTGTTTTCCTAATAATGTGTATGAAGGATAACCTCAGCATGCCCACATTCAGTATCCAGGCAAGCTGAGAATGGAAATCTTATTCACTGTTCTTATCCTAGCATCTACTCCAGGCCTTGGCAGTCACAAACAACAATGCTTATAGAGGCCAAACAGAAATATAACTGAGTCGAACAAGAAAAGCAAAAGGCAACAGGGACTGATGGAGACTTTGGTTGAACAGGAGAGCTTCTGTCTGGACTAAACACATTCAAATTCATACTTCAAACTCCATGCAGTCCACACTACACGTGTCTGCAGACTGCCAGGTGCAAACTCTGTACCAACAATCAGCTGAATGAGGCCCAGCTGAATGAGGCCCAGCTAAATGAGGCCCCTAACTTTCTAGCACTTTATTGGTCCTGAAACACATAACAGCCTTCAAAAAAAAAATTTTTTTTAAAGAACTATACCCTAATGGTGGTGGTGGTTACACAAATCTAGACATCTGCTGAAGTTTCTCAACTGCATACCAAAAGCGGTCAATTTTACTATATGAAAACTTTTTAAAAATCAAAGTACTAATATAAAATTTTTTTCTGCCATCATTAGCCACACAACCTAGTCTACCTGCATGTAACCAAACCCTTTAGACTAGCGCTGCCCAACAGAAATAAAAGCTGAACCACATATGTAATTTTAATTTTTTTAGTAGCCACATTTACAAAAAAGTAAAAAGAGCTGAACTACTTTTACTAATATAAATTTCAACTCCTTATGTTGAAAATTTATAATTCTAACATGTAATTAATATAAAAGTTATTAATGAAATATCTTACTTTCACTAGGTCTTTGAAATTCAGTGTGGGTATTTTATACTTAAGACACATTTCAATTCCGACTAGCTGCATTTCAAGGACTCAATAGCCCCATGGCCACCATACTGGACGGCTCACCTGTCAACTCACGCTTTCCAGGTGCTCTCAATGAAGCTGGGCTGATAGCAGTTGGCAGTGGTAGCTGCAGTGGGACAGAACCAGCCGACAAGGCTCTGCAAACATCTCCCGTCCCCTACCTTGACCTTCATCCCTGAGGACCAGGTCCCTAGAAGTCAATTTAGTCATCTTCATCATATCGTGGATGACAATTAACTGAGCTCTTCCTACATGCCAGGCACTGTTCTAAGCACTTTACATATATTAATTCATTTAATCCTCACAGCCCCCCTGAGGAAGGTACTGTGATTACCCCTACTGCACAGATAAACAACTACACAGAGAGGTTAAAGAGACCGTCTACCCAAGGGCATATCACTCAGCTGTGACAGAGCCAGGATCCGAGCCCAAGCAATCTGTCTCTAGTGCCTGTCACTCTTCACAGCTATGTTTTAAAAACCGAGGAACTCCAAACTGCTGTTGGGAGTGACACCGTAAAAGGCCGAGTATAAAGTAGTTTGTAAATACGAAGTTTACGCTCCTTAGAAGAAAGCACCCAATACCTTTGGTGTTTCCAGGCCCTTTTGTTTGGGACTCGAAGGTTCCTAAAAATGCTTCCCCCAGGCTCCTAAGTGGAAAAATGTGCACCTTAGGAAAGTGACAAACCGGCTCTTTTTCACATATTAAGATGCCACCCAAAGAATGATCAAGCAGAAGTCATTATAAACAGTTGTGGTTCTTTGCTGATCTTTTCACTTAAGAAATGAGAGTGCTCCTTACCCTCGGAAGGGACAGGAAAGAGTGGCTCCTCACTGAAGGAGACCCACTCTGACTGCTGGGTGGCGATCACATGGTCCAAGGTCGTCATGCTAGGAAGGCACTGATCATCTTCACACTGATGGCCTCAGACAGACCCCAGAGTAATGTCTGGGGTGGAGGTATGGAAGCACAGTGGACTTGGGTCTTGGCTCTGGTGTGAGGATCTTGTAGAGGGTGGCACTCGGAACGAAGAGAGATCGGCCCCTCTTGCCTTTGGCTAATGTGCCGAGCAGAAATCTGTTTAAAGAAATAATAAAAATTAAAAAGGACAGCTATCACATTATATCCAACCCACACAGGTCTAGGGTTTTCAACGCTGCCCACAAAAAGGTGTGGGTGGTTTCCAACTTGTGTTACTTCTCTCTGCCCTGTCTTGTCCCCACGTCTTGTACAGAAATATCTGCCTTTAGCATCAAGATCTCTGTACAGGCCTTCATATCAGACTTGTAAATAATCATGCAAGTTTTAGCAATCAGATCCTAAATTTCTCCAATTGTTATATTTTGGAAACACTTCTATTTATAATACAATGCCATTGTTGTAAAACAAAAATTAAAACTTTTCAAAGTATTTTCACTTTCTTTTACTAGATGGTAAAATAAAAGCATGTTCTTTCCTATTAAATCATAGCACTTTCTTGCCTTAGGCAGGTAGCTCTTTGCAAGCCTGGTTTAAATCCTTGGCAGAAACCCAACCACCTCCAGATGGTACCTCCAAGCATGGTTTACCAATCAAGAGAAATAGAAATGGAGTCATCTTGTTCATTTGGAGTAAATGGGAAGGGAATATTTGCTTTAGTAAAAAATGTGAGTTAAAGAAACATATTTTCAATTTAGGCCAATTTGAATTAGTACATAAAAGTCTAGCCTTTACTCACATCACAATTATGTTCTATGTATATAGAAAGATACTTAATAGACTCATAATTCTGTTTGTACTATTAATGTCCATTTACAATCTGAACCTAGCTCTTGCTCTTATGATAAATAAAATCTGAAATAATGCAAAATTAATGTGTTTCCACAAAAGAGCTACTATTTGTCCTGAACAATATCAGTTCTTATTAATGGAATACTTCCAATATTCATTTTAGTCTAGAAAAATTTAACTCATAGCCTTCTGACTGGTGCATAATAAAAAAAATGTTGAGGAAATTGTAGTATAGATTATTACCTGCTATAAATAATCTATGCTGGGGTTAACCAGAACAGAAATATGTAATAGTTTTTGTCTTTTTTGGTAGCTAAAACAGTTTTGCTGTACAATACTGCCTAAAAATAACTGTTTGCATACATTTATAATTTTCAGAAACATATTTTTTAATATATTTTTGAAAGATTTTATTTATTTATTTGAGAGACAGAGGGAGAGGGAGAAAGAATCTGAAGCAGACTCTGCACTGAGCACAGTCCAATGCGGGGCTTGATCCCACAACTGTGAGATCATGACCTGAGCCAAATGATACTTCATTTGATTCTATAGCCATTTTAGTTGAGTAAGGCAGATATAACTATAATTTCTTTACAGATGAAGAAATTTGGGGTGGGAGGAGTGGCTTATCCAACATTTTCATTGTTTCCAGGCCCTTGTTTGGTGCCCTAAGATGTTTCCTCCAGGCTTCTAACTGGAAGAATTCACACATCCCAGAACAGTGACAAATGGACTCTTTTTTCTCCCTGATATCCACAGAATGATCAACTAGAGATATAATAAGCAGGTGTGTTAGATGCACCAAGCTAGGAAGTGATCGATACATCCCTGAAACCTAGGTCTTCTGGTGCCAAACACTCTGATCTTGGGATCACAGCCACACACACACACACACAAAAAGTACCAGAATATATGCAAAAATCACCCAACTAAAGTACTTTACAAACATCAATTACAACAGAACCATAATGAAACGATCTGTGAAAACTCCCCATGTGGAAATCTGCCAGGATACCCCAGCTGTGCAGAGAATGGAAAGCCTGGAAATCTCTCTTCCAAGTCCCTCTCCAAAGATTCTTACCAACCACGGGACCAGACGTGTGCAAACAGCCTGGAGAGTACAGAGCTCCAAAACCAGATCTCACCAGAGAACCACGCAGAGCCCAGAGACCCTAGAGCTGCCTCTGGCGGGCTTGTCCCTGAAAGCTGTTCTCATGCCCTATCAAACATGAGTCTGTGGCTGCAGGCCAAGATAAGACAGCAAAAGAGAAGAGTCAAGACTCCTCCTCTCCCTATAACAGCAGCATATAAGCCAGGTCCAACAACAACAAAAAAGCCACAATACAAGTCCATGTGCTGACACATGCAGCGTCATAGCTCAATGGGGAAAACATCCTCCCAACCCCGTGATGATGAATCCAGCAAAATTCACAGATGAGTGTGGGGGGGTGGGGGAGAGGGGACAAGGGAAGAGGAGAAGGGAAAGGGTGAGGGCAATGGGACAAATACCAAGAAATTTTAGAGCTCAAAGGTTTTCAAGAAACCTACACAGGGAGGTTAAAGAGACCGTCTACCCAAGGGCAACTGTGAGATCATGACCTGAGCCAAATGATACTTCATTTGATTCTATAGCCATTTTAGTTGAGTAAGGCAGATATAACTATAATTTCTTTACAGATGAAGAAATTTGGGGTGGGAGTCTAACTCTCAAGTTCACAGATGAGTAAACGGAGGCCTAAGGAAATCAAACGTAGCAACAGAGAATGAGAGCATGGGCCTGGGATTTGAATCCCGTACAGCCTTTTAGCCTCATTTCACCCCTGTACAGCAGGAATAACAAGACTCACTTCATAATTTTAAGGCTTAAGAGAGATAATATACACGGAGTGCTTAGTACTGGGACTAATGAGCCCTCGGTAACAATGATGATGGTAACCACAGGTGACCGCACAGAGAGCTTACTACATGCCGGGCTCCAGTCCAAACTCCGTATGAATGTCAGCTATAGTCATCACTGCTGTTGTTAAATCACTTGCCAGAAGTCACCCAGCTCATTAGTGAAGTCTTGGGACTAGGATGCAAATTTCATGGAAACCTCTCCCTGCCGTTTCTGTCATTTCCACATTCTGGCATTAGGGATTTCTCTTTTCAATCATTTTTAGACCAGTTCTCCCAGATGTTACTTGGAGTCAAGCACTCAACCTCCTCTTTACAGATACAGGCATGGTCTGGCTAAGGGACCAAGACTACTACTCAGAAAGTATGAGTGAAAGATAAGCCCCAAAGCCTTATCTACACTTCCTTAGCTTGTCCATCCCAGATCCAGACGTGGGCTGGTTACGGATAATAAGCAGCCCCAAGAAAGCCTGGTAGAACAAGTTTATTACAGCGAACCACCTATCATAATCCTGTGAAACGGATTCTGGGTATTTGCCATGAAACAGCCACATCCAATAAGCCACGAGATGTGGTTGTACCAGCAGCTGGAAACCACAGAGGAACCCAGTAATTGTGAGGCTAAGTTCACACTGGAATTTGGGCTCTCTATAAAAACCTCACCCCATTTTTAGAATGTGAATCATAAAGTGAGGCTTAAAATCACCACAAATGGGTAGTGACTCAGTATCAGCAGCAGGACTGACCAAGAGACACTATAAGTTTCACTGAAGTCTCTGGGTTGCCACTTCGGAGAGCAGCTTCTTTCTCAGCATCCCTTACACTCTAAAATCTGGGGGTGGAAAACACAGTCGGCGGATAAGATGGGAGTCACAGAAATGGGTCTGTTGTGTGCCAATCCTCTGATATACATTCATGAGCCCTATGTGTTTGGACATATACTAAGCACCTTTGAGCCAGTGACCCTCAAGCAGCTTGCAATCTAGCTGGGGACACAGAAGAGCAAACACAACAAATCTGGAAATAATTCTGCTACAGGACATACCAGAAATGCTGTCTAGCCAGAGAGAGATCTGCAAGGGCTGGAACCATAAAAAAAACGAGATTTCTTGGATTGGAAGGATATCCTTGGTTCTGGACTACCAGAAGGGAAGAGTAAGGATATCTAAGGACATCCTCGGGACAGAGGATCAGCATAAGGGAAGAATAAGAGTCAGACTTTTTGGGCTTGTTTCTAGACCAGTGAAGAGGTCAGTCTGATAAAAGCTGAGGTGTCTACTGAGGAAATGTGGGGAGAGAGAATTGGTAGACTTAACAGCTGAGGAGAAGAGTTCAGAGGGAAATGGTAAGCTGCCTAAGGTTTAAGAGGGGAGAGTGACTGAAGAAATGTGCCTACAGGAGATTAACATTCCTCAGACTGCATTGACAAGAAGCTTGGAGATGGGAGCTATCGGCCACAACAGGACCTCAGTGTCTTGGGCAAAGTCAGGGACCAGCATCATCAGGAATGTATACTGAGCTCTGTGCTAGGGCTCAATTAAAATTAAGTTCACCTGTTTCTTTTAACATTTTTTAAATGGGGCAACTAGAAAATGTAAAATAATACATATACGGTTTATACTCTATTTCTATTGAACAGCATGGCTCTAAAATAGTCCATTCTTTATTCCATCTTTGTTTTTTGAAGGATATTTTTCAGTAGACATAGAATTTGAGGTTGACTTTTCTTTTCCTTCAGTAGTTTGTCTTTTGGTCTCTATTGTTTCTGATGAGGAGTTGGCTTTCTCTCCTCTACTGATCTGTTTTCAAGTTCCTTGACTCTTTCTTCTATCATCTTTATTTCCCATTAAGTTCATTCTGTGAATTTTTCATCTCAGTTATTCCACTTTTCTATTCTAAAATTTTCATTAGATTCTTTTATAGTTTCTATTTCTCACCTGAGATGCCCTATATGTTCACTCATTATGACAATGTTTTCCTTTAGTTCTTTGAACATATTTGTAATAGCTGCATTAGAGGTTTTGTCTGCCATATCCAACATCTGGGCCATTTGGGGATTAGTTTCTATTGACTTTTTTTGCATACCTATTAATTGTTGATGATATACTGAAGACATTCTGGATTTGATCTTCCTCTGCAGAGCTGATTTTTGACAGAAGTCAAAATGCTTGCTCACATTCATCTTGTATAGGCTTCCACTTTGTTGGATGGATCTGTGAAAAGCCAAAGATATCTCCAAAGCTCCTCTAACAACTGCAGAACTCAAGTTCCAAACTCAATCTCCATGGCAGATTTCAGCAGCACTTGGCTCCATGCCTTATTAGGGTGGGTTTGAAGTAGGTCTTACTCTAGAACAGCAGCAGGCAAACTACAGCCATGACCCAAGGCTGGCCCTCTGCCCTTTTTTGTAA